ATAAACAAGGCAAGGTAGGACACTAGTCTGACTGCTCAACTGCATAGATGGAGTAAATTTATTTTTCAGCAAAGGAAAATAAATTCCCAATTAAATATGACTTTACATTTCCAAACATTTTCAAACTCTTAATTTCCTTAAACAAGGTTTTCAGTAAAAAGACGGCTAATACTCTGGCAACAGTACTTGAGATCTAAACAGTGGAAAAATTAGCTTAGTTTTCATTTACATAATTCCATTCAAGTATCATTGTAACTTTAAGCAAGCTTGGATGACCAGACCTCAGGGACAGGCTTGGATAGTAACAGTGTGCCCACCTTCTTAAAGGTGTCTTCAGTACCTCTGATCAAAACAGTAAGAGTTCCAAATATTTCAGGGTAAAACTACTTCCGTGGAGTGAATGGCTTTTTCCTAAGACTGGCAGCTGTGTATTCCTCAATTTTAAGACACAGCAGAGAATAACTTCTGATAAAGGGATACTCATCAATTCATTGTCATTTTCAGAGTGCCCATTGTTCTTTCATAAAGCAACAGATGGAGTCAAATTGCCTGCCTTTAGGTTGTCAGTGCAATTTCTTACCTTCTAGACCACAATTGCCTTTTTTTTTAAACAACTGCTCTTTTTAGAGACCCTTTAGGGACCTAAGAGATTCATTTAAATGACATCTTTTATGTTAGAATGTAAACTGGATCTCACCTCTAGTCTCTGATAATAAAACAGTCTATTTGAATAATACATACATACCATATGATGTTTTTAATAAAAATATGGTATGATTAATGGAAATGTGCTACTTTCCTTGTTCACCAACGGGCTGAAAACAGTGATGGACATATCTTCTAAAACTTACTAATAAATCAAAGGCACAATTAAGAAATGAGAATTTTTTTCAAAGTTTAAAGAAATCTTAGTTGCCCGATTAAACTGTCATGCACACACTAAAACCCCCACTCTACCCCCATCTGCTGTGGTTTGTCCTCAACTGCAACTCAAAATGATCTATGTAGCAGATCAAGTGTTCAAGTGTTTGTTCCATGGAATTGCTCATGGATTCAAATCATCACCTTTTAGTTAGTACCCAGGCACTTAATTGTTGTGTTGCCAGTTTGCACACAGAAAATTTTCAACTCAATAATAAGTGAGTCTTCAATAAAACAGGAGCTGATTCCCTTAAGATCTGCCTAGGATCTGTTTCAGCATCAAATTTTGTTCATAATATTTTCCAATCAACTTAAGGATTTGGAGCTAACAGTTTACATGTAAGCCCAAGAAGTAGCTAAAAAATTCTGAACATACATCATAAATTTGATGGTGTCTGCTAGTCATAAGGTAGGTTGTGGCTCAAGGCTTTATGTCTAAATATAATCAAGGTCCCTGCTTCCCAGTGAAGTGAAATGTCACTACCCATGTTCCTATATACCGTAACAGTGCATGATGCAAATACCATGTAAAGCAAACTAAAACGAGAGGGTGGTATTTTGCTTAGTTTTTAAATTGAAGTTTGATGCAATATAGCTGTACCTCTGCAAATTCAAATTATCTGGATCACTCCTGGTGTTCCTTAAAATATAATTTTTCAGATACAGGATTGCTTCTCAAAAGAATGTCTCCTATTTGTAACCCTTTCATGACCCATGTAACATAGAGTTGTATGTACTGTCAAGTCAGAACTAACTCACAGCTGACTCTTCAGTGGGTTTTCGGAGGCTACAGACCGCACTGGGGAAGAATACTCACCTTTTTACCAGGAACAGTTAGTTGAGCTCAACCACCTGCCTTTCGGCTGGCAGTGAAACTCTTTCCTCTTTACCACCAGACCTCCCGGTGGAACACTGTTGTTGTTGGGTGCGTTTCAGTTGAGTACAATGCACAGTGATTCTACGAACAGATCTGAATCCCGTGCCAGCCTCCTAGTGTCTTGACATACTTGAGCCCATTGCTGCAGTCACTGTGTCTATCCTTCTGGTTGAGTATGAAGACTAGGATGAGCCTGATTCAGGCCACAGTGTTTCTAATCACTAGCTATGCATCTGAGAGCTGGACAGTGAATAAGGTTGATGAAGAAATCATGCCTATGAGCTATAGAGCTGGAAAGGAGTACTGAATATATGGGACATGGAGTCTACCGTAAATTTTTCACCTCTATGAGTTCCTTCAAAAGCGTCTATCACACCTTAGTATGTGCTGTGATCTAGTGGGTGCCTGCATCGCTCCAACACCAAAGACCTCTCTAAAGAAGTGTATCAAAACTTGTTATTACTTAAAAAACATTCTTTTCATTTCACCAAAATTATTTTCTTACTGAAAACACAATAACTAAGAGCAGGAAAAAACTGGCTCCTGAAAGTGATTATGCTAGATGATTCAAAGAAACCCCACTGCAGTACATGCTTACAAAATTCACCAGTTATTAATAATTAACAAATGCAACCCAAGTTATAAAATATTTTTATGCATCACTAAGGGGGAAAAAGGAATTTGCATGTTTTTATATTTAATTTACTTACTCAAATAGGTTTTTGAAGTCCCTACTCATCACAAGTCTCCAGTGAAAAAGGATGTAGGCCATGTTCGACAAATAATTCAACTACATAATACAATCATCATTTTATTTGATTTGTACCTCGAGAATGAAAATAACCACTTGATTAGAAGGGACTACTAATCCACCAAAGGAAGGACAATCTGAAGGACTGATAGAGAATCCTGATCATTTAAAAGACTGAGTTAAAAAAAGAAAAAATAAAATTAGGAGAACCTCTCCAAATATGCCAACCCTCTTAGCTCATGGCTTTGAGCTACCAAAATTTTAGGTACAGAATTTCACAAACATTGTGCTGGTGGCCTAGTGGCAAGAAGCTGTGCTGCAATACTGAAGGTACATGGTTTGAATCCACCAGCTGCTCTGCAGAAGCAGCACGGGCAATCTCCTCCAGAGTGATTACTGCCTCTGGAAACCCGCTGGAGGGTCAGCTATGAGTCAGTTCCAACTTGATAACACAACACAATGCCAAATAAGTTTCTGGAACTGCTAAACCTTGGTTCATAAACCACTTCTGGTAGCCCTGCTGTTTGCATGGTTTTTTTTTTTGTTGTTTTTCTTTTAACCTGGATATCTGAAGTAAGTGGTGACTAAACTAGAAAGACACGAGATGTAGCCTTTTAGTCCCAGGATCTCTCATCTTCAAATTTCAAGAACATCTCATTTAATCAATTGCAAGGGAGTTTGATATTTTAGGCTTGATTCTTCAGCAAACTACCATTAATTCTTTTTTTTCCCCCCTCTAGTAATACAATGGCTGGATCTTATTTATTTTTGAATAATAATTTTTTGGCTTTTGCATAAAATGCTGTATTTTTCCTAAAGCCACACATGGCCAACTTAACTCTTGTTACAACCATTAATTCTTAAAAACTTAATCTGGTTTGGAAAACAATTCTCTCAACCTTTTTAGCTAATGCAGAAATAATTTACTAAACAGAGCTTTCAAGTTGAAACTTGGTAGCACTTTACATTAAACTAACTTTCTCAGAAAACTGTTCCATTGAGAAAGGTTTTATTTTAAGGCACTTATGAAAGTGTGGGGTGTTGGGGGAAAGCTATGAATGAGTAAAATTTCCAGAAATGTAGACATTTTCAGAAATCTAAGTCGGTCACTTATCTGGCCTACATCAGCATCTAAAAAGGATAGGGAATGTAAAGATTTTCATGGCTAGCTGACTGTGGTCTTTTCCATTTTCCTAGACAAATTTACTTGTGTCTCAGATTTAACCTTTTTCAAGAGGCAATAGAGAAAGGTCACAAGAATTTTGAAAGAAGGAAAAACAAAAACAATACCTCAAAAAATAAGCAATCTAGTTTGTAGCTTAGTCTCATGATTAATACATTCTACAAACGCAGCACTGAATGCTCATATTTAAGAATTCGGAGTACTTTATTAAGTCTACACAGGCTACTCTCCTAAGACCACATACCCAATGTTTGGAAATGTAGTAAGTATTCTTTCTACTGTTCTTGAGGGAAATGTAAAATAATAGTACATTTCCCTCACTTATGTAAATGCGAATTTGTTAACAGAAAACAGAAATATTCTTAAGAATGCCACTCTGTAAAGAGTCCCAGTCTGAATTTTCCTATACATTCTAATGAACTAAATTTTGCCATGAAATAAAGACCCAAATTATAACAGGATTCAAGTTAGTTCACCAGGAAATGACAGATCTGATTGTGAAGGTAGGCATGTAGGGATAGTACTTACCGAAAAGAAAAATGTTTCCTGGGCACACTTGCCACAAACACCCTTTACCAACCCACTCATATTCATTTTAAAAGTATGAATGTGAGGAAGACCCTGACAACCCTATTAGACATATGAACATGGATATAGACTCTATGTGCATTATTATGGAGTAACAGCCATTACACACCTTATAGTCACAGGCACATTCATGCACAAGGGACATCCTGGCTTGCACACACTGAGCTACTGGTTCGTAGAAATTAGTATCTTCACGTTTATGCTGCTTCTTAATATGAAGGATATTTATCTTGCATTTCTTTCCAGAAATCTCCTATTCAAGAGTACTATACCAGTCCTGGAAGGACTCATTGTGATTCCTTAGTGGACGTAACTCAAAACAGGAATTGCAGGAGTTAAAACTAGCGGTAATATAGGCCTCTTTGAGATTGCGGTAATGTATTTTTGGATTTAAATAGTTGCAGGGCATGAAGCATGGTAGAGGTGGAGATAAAGCCCTCTATAAAAACAGATGGAAATGTCTAGAAATCCAGAAATTAAACAGAAGAAATGAGCATAACTTAAAGGAGTTTTAACTGAGTAACATGGCAACTGAGTTTGTTCACAAAATTTCTCCTCTGACAGCAAGAAAAGTGAAAGATAGTAATTGGTATCTATCTTCTTGAGATGGCTCAGCTGGGAGTGGTAAGGCAGGCACTGGGGTGGGGGTGGAGATGGAGGCTGAAGGCCCAGTGTTACTCCTAAGGTTTCTGCTTGCCTGATTTTGAAGGGAAGGGTGCTAAAGCAAATGGATCAGCAGCTGGTAACTCTGTAGTCCTAGAGGAAAGGGCTGTGATGGAAACAGAGCCAGTTACTGACTGCGTGTTGGGTTGAGAGACAATTTTGTAGGAAGTGATGGGCTGGACTTCTGCAGTTGGCTCGTCTTCTGGGCTATAGTGACGGGAGTACTTGGATAATGATGAAGGGAGGAATGGTTTGCCAGTCACAAAGCTTGAGACTGCTTCTTTTTGGGGCTGAGGTCCTTTGTTTCTGTCATTAGGATGGCCCCCAGTTTCCAGAGAAGATCCTCTAGGAGAGATGCTGTCAAGATGGTCTGCTGCTTGTACAGAATGGGATGGGAGGTTAGATTGTTGAACAAAACCAGCCATGGAATACTGAGCTCGGACACAGGTGTACACTGCCCTATCAAGGCTTGAGAGCAGAGGACTAACTCCTTGTGGGACATCATGTGTTTGACTGAGGAGACTAGCCTGTGCAGGCAACTCCTGGGACACACCATGGGTAACTGTTAGCTCTTCCATGCTTTTCTTCTTGGTAAAAGGAGCCCTCAAGAACACATCTGCTTCTTCTTGTGGGGAAGAAGACATACTGCCCTTAGAAACAAATGGGGCTTTGGAGAAAATGTCTATGTCATTGATTGGAACCCTTGAGCTTCTAAACGGTGCAGTGGCAAAAATATCTGGCTCACTGGGACCATCCGTGGCAGACTGTGTGAGAGCGTGGAACTGGTTTTTTCCCCCATCTTGCACTGCCGTTGTTTGCTTAGTAGAAACTTCTGGCTGAGTAGATGCAACGACTCCTCCCAGCTTCCCTTGGGGAGGCTTACAGCTCTCATCCTCTTCCTCAGATTCCATGAGGAGAGGCCGAGACCCACTGCAGTCTAGCATGTCCCCCTCCAGGTCAGTCCCTTCCTCTTCACTGCTATGGAATGAGCTGTTGCTTGAGGGACCATCTCTGGCCAAGTAGTCAGATTCCAAGTTCTGAGTTTTTGTGCAAGATGTACTTGAAGGGTCTGGATACAGAGGAAGGTCTTTAACACCTGTCGATTCTTTAAAATGCTCTACAGTTATAACAGGACAGGGATTGGGCTCTCTCTGGAGACCTAGAAAAGCACAAAATGCAGAATTAATGTCAGTTCAACTCCATTCCTGGAACATTTAAAGGTCAACCCGCGGCAGAAACGTGGGGTCAAATAATAGATGTTGAGAATGGAAAAGGACAAACAGAAAAGTATAAGTCAGGCAAGGTAAACTGCACACAAACTGGAACACAACCAATCACTGTCTCACATTTTGGGATGTAAGAGGCATGATGTGCAGGAAAGGAGATGAAGATGTTAGGTATACAGACATTCAGCATAACTATGCAAGGCTTCTACTCACAGGGCCAGGAGCTGACGCTTGCTTGACCTGGCACTGGCTCAAAATGGGATGAAAACAAACCCAGTCACTCATCTCCACATGTACCATGATATCTTTGAATGATATAAAAACACTGTCTGGGGAGAAACTCAGATCAAGGACCGGCATGTGGTTACATGTTCCACACTGCCTGTATCTGAATACAGACTCTCTGAGAAGCAGAACTTAGTAACTTCCAAGTTTAAGGGATGATTTACATTACAGACTCTATACAAAGAGCACAAGAGTGCCCCAAAAGAAAATACTGAAGGCAATGTCTAAGGAAAAGAGATGTAATGAAATTATACCAAATAAATCACCTTCAGCTGGAGTTGCCCTGGGATTTTGTTTTCAGTCTTCTAAGTTAGCAAATATATCCCCTGCTTAAATGAATCCATCATAATGTTCTTTAAGCAGAAGAAGTAAAATGTAAGGGTAATCACAAAAGTATCAGCAATTTCTAACATGGTAGTCTATTTTTATTTAAGAAGAGGGTGCTCTGGCTTTTAAAATCAAATAGACAATTATCAGAATGCAAGAGAGCTTACCTTCCAAGAAATATTAGCAGGTTAGAAGTATGTCATTGAGCACATGTTAGCAAGAGGGTAGGAAAAAGGCATATGTAACTAAGAAGAATCCAGAGAAAGGGCGATTGGGGGTGGGGGAGTAAAGGGATTATTTCATCATTGGCTCACTAGAGAGATAGGTACCATTGGAGTTTCCCAACCCACCAGAATATTAGGTACAATTATTTGGTTCTACAGATATCTCAGGACTTCTATTTAGGTGCAACTCAATTATTCCCTCCCCATTTGCTCCCTCTCCTCCAATGCAAAGCACTAGGTAGCAAGGTTATTTCTACTAAAAATTATTCCTTGCTTAAGTTTCTGCTTGAATTAAGCACACATAACACAAAAGAAGAGCCATCAAAATCAGTTTATTGAGAATCAGTAACTTAGAGACATTACATTGAAAAGAAAATGTAGAGTGAGATGTGAACATTTTATAAGATACTGTACAAAAATACTGTTTCTCTCCATCCTGTAACTTTTAAGCCGTGCTTCTTTTAAAACAGCTCTGACCTTAAGTGTTATTTTCACAAACATTCCCTATTTTAATTTCTCTAACAGAATGCATTCAGTAAACTTTAAATTAGAATCATTAACTTCTAAACTCGTATCAAATAGCTTTTGAATATTATTTGAAGAATATGATTTTGAAGAAGGTAATTTTTTCCCTGCATTACAATTTTAGTATGTGCAGTTATTGGGTGATTAGCATAGAAATAAGTGGACTACCTTCTTCATTGCAATGTATGTGGTAAGAAATAATGCTAATTTTTTAAAATAAGTGTCTTAGTTTAGCTCAATCTGTCACAGTGATACTCAGGTGATAATTTCTAGGAGGAAACTTGGATGAAAGAGGATAAAGTACCCAGACAAAATTTTCCAAGCAAAGAGATACAAGAAGTTCCCCAAACTCCTTGACTACTTCTCAACATACCAGTTGGATATGGTTTTCAGCATAATATTATCTGACACAAACTACCCTGAAGGTTGATGTTATTTCAGCTGGTTCTGAAGGAGAGTAATCTCTTTTGGGAAAAAAAAAAAAGAAAAATTTAGTCAAGCCAATGACTAACTATGATATCATACAGATAATAACCAAAGTGAAGATAAGTTTGATTGAATTTAATGGACTTTAAAAACTGATGCTGAATTCAGTCAAATCCATTTCTGGCAAAGACTACTAAAACTAGTCAGCTCCCTATGGAACCATGGACACTTTGGATGACTGCAGTATGATGTTAAATTTTGAGAACTGTGGAGTACTAAGTGGACATGCTCAGATTCAAAGCTGGACAGAGTGCCAAATCTACCAAAATGACTTCTGGTAAAAAACCCTTTTGTTTTGGTCAAGTCAACTGGCAACTAGCAAGCTCAGAGCATATTCTATGACCTTCATGCCAAATACTGGGCAAAATCATACTTGAAAGTCAATGACTGAAAAATTCAGAGACACAGTTACAAAAACATCAACATCAAGGCTGAAGGAAAAAGTTTCTCATCCTTCCAAACAAGTGTTAGATTTATTGTGAACCTCTTTCATCATGAACCTGTTTTGTAGGACTGGAAAAGTACACTGAAGAGACCAACTTGACAAGCCAAATTTTCTTAACTGTTCATTCTTATTAGAAGTGCTGTATGAGAAGGCAGGTAGCAATCACCTTTTCTAACTATACAAATTTGAAACTCTGAAGATGAAGGGAAGCACAGGCATCAACACCTCCTTGAGGAAATTTTAGTCACACAAGAAACAAAGTAATCGATAAGGAGAGACTACAGATAACAGTAAACCAAACCCAACCCTCCCAAACAGTAGCAAGTCTTCTCTGGAAGCTGTGTACTCTTAAAGGGAAAAATGTATGTGAAGCAGTTTGACTACTAGGAATTAAGTAAAGTGATTTACAATAATTTATAGCATCATGCCTTGGCCCAGTTTCTCTGGTAATGAATGGCAGTTATTTTGTGATCAGAGAGCTCAATAAAGGTAGCCATGATGGGGTATATTAAAAAAACCCAAAACCTCAACAAAAAAAAAACCCTTTAAAATAAACATCCCACTGTTATGTCGCTGAGTTGAAGTCCATGTGTAGGGCGTAAGGGACTGATGGGAAACACTGGCTGGTAATATCTTTCAAACCAATGGGGCAATTAAGTGAGAGTGATTTAATTAAATTAGCTTGTGTATATTAAAAGATTAAAATATGGCTCCAAATCTGTGGTCTATGTTATAATCTTGCTTCTTGTCATACAAAATCTGGTTTCATAGTTTTGTTCTCCTTGATTACAAGGTGAAGTCAATGACAGCTATGACTTAAAATGTTCTCATATCTTTTTCACAATGGTCTGCACTTTGCTGTGAACAGGTTATTTATTGTCATTCAACAATGTTGTTTAAATCCTGCTTAAGAAAACAACTGCTAGATTATTTGTAGCTCTAAACGTGCTCCTGCTTGAACAGATAAGACTTTGTTCTCCTGTTACATAGGAATTTGTTTACAGAACATGTTTTCTAGACACATTGTGTAAACAAATTTTTGCGTAGTAAATTTCTTGTGCACCAATCCGAATTCACATTTAAAAAAAATTGCTTATGATAGTTTCATGTAAATTTGTTTGGGGGTCCCCCCCGCATCTCCTGTAGACAGGACAGGTTAAAGACTGAAAATATGTACACATCACATGACAAGGGGATGTGCAAGAGGACAATTATTCAGTGGGGAAAAAAATCAGGACTCTACATCAAAGTGTGACACATCTAGTGTGTCAGGAAGGTTGGCACAGGATAGGACAGGGTTTAGATCTGTTGTTCATACTGTCGCTATGGTATGTGACTAGAAGGCACCTAACAACAACAACAACAACAACAACAACAACATCAAAGTGGGAACCAAGTGAGTGTCTCCCATTCTAGTAACTACCATCACCTGGTAATTTGTTTGCACAGGTCAGCATAACTACTCTACTGTTGGAGAAACACAACAGTATGTTATTACAGACAATGTAAACTGCATGCCATCTGGGATTCATTTGGAGTCAAGAAACCCAAGCATACTAACATTTGGAACACTGCAAGTATGGAATAGCTAACTTTGTGTTGCTTAAATCACAACCTCTAGATTGGATAAAAGTGTTGCTATGTGTCATGGAGTTGGAACTCACCCAGAGCTGATGCTCCAGGAGGTTTTCAGGATATGTAAATTGCATGGAAGAATGCTGCCCTTTCTTTCGCTTGTGGAGCATCTGGTAGGTCTGAACTGCATACCTTCTGTTTGGCAGTGTAATTCCCTACCACGAGACCACTAGGCAAGATTTGGTAATGTCTTGATGGTTATAATTCTAAATACCCATCTATGTAATAATTTTTGTTTTACTAGGAAAAACTGAATACTCTTAATGCAATACTCTGGAGAACCCTATTATTTTTACCCCCAAGCTCTAAAGTAGTGGATCTGAGATGCTGAAAATTTTATAGACTGAGAAGTTAATGACTCTACAAGATGACACAAAACTTCACTATGGAAATGTTTATTTCTAGTCTAAAAATTCATCTGCTGAACTTATCTCTTTAAACCATTCAGTTGGGGTCAGCTCCAAAGGCTCCTCGTTTTCATAACACTGTTAAAGCATTCTTGTTCCTGATGTGTGGGAAGGTTACACTGGTTTGAATCAAAATGAGAAAGTATCTGTCAGGAGACTCAGAAAAGATATTAAAGACTAAACAAAGCTCATATTTCATCTTGAGATAGAATTCTTATCTTACCAAGATAAGTTCTTATTTGGGGTTGTTTCCCTATAATTAATAGCATTTCCATACTAATTCACAAAGAGCCAAATCCGTTAGCTGACACTGAACAAAAGGAAAGTCTGTTTTTGCATAAAAAATTTTAAACTTTTAATTTTTTTAAAATGTACTAAAGATGTTATCACAAGAGTCCCTGTATTCAGAATATTAAAGAAATTATGATTGCTTTTTAAAATTTTTCAGAAAAGTTCTCTCTGGGAATTTTTCTGTCCTTTTTTTCTGTTTTCAGTAGTCTTACCATATGGGGACAATTTTGCTTTTGGAAAACAAGTCAAATGTGAACCAAGAACAAAGGGTGGTAAAAACATATCAGATAAAGGACTATACTTTCAGATGCTGAAAATGATACTAATGAACTAGTAATCCAACTGATTTCATTATACTTTATTATCTTCCTTGATGCTGTTTCTAAAGAGCAGTTGTTGCTGTGTGATCTTGAGTTGGAACTGACCCGTAACTGACCCTCCAGTGGGTTTTCAGAGACAGTAAATCTCACAGGAGACTGCCCATCCTTCTCCCACCAAACAGCTGGTGGATTTCAACTGTGTGCCTTAGGGATTGCAGCACAGCTTCTTACCTCTGGACTACCAAGAGAGAAGTTTCAAAATAACTTACAAGATGGCAACATCACTGAAATAAAGATTAGCTTCTCAAGTAAAATCATGTGCCTTTTTAGGGAGTTATTATACAAATGGATTTCAAAATTCTGATGTGTTCGTTAAATAAATCATTATATGAAAAGAGACCATTTAAGCCGCATCTCCTCTGAGGATTTTATTTTAATTTAAACTTGTGTTTTTAAAAACATTGGGATCTGAATTTTATGATTTACCTATTTGGTGCTTTAAAGTGAAACAAACAAACAAACAACCCCCAAACCCCCAAAACAAAACAAAAAACAACCGACAAAAACACTCTCAATTTTAATGTTTTCTGATTTAGTTACTATTTTTACACAGTTGAAATAAAAGCATATCAGGTATGTGTAGTATTCACTGATTTTTAACGGCAAAACCCTGATTATACATAAATTAAAAATTTAAATTTGATATGATTTTGTTAAAATATGTAGGGAGTGTGTGTGTGTTTGTAATATTAAGAAAGAAAAGCCTGTGTTAAAAATGGTGATAATTTAGCTTCTATTCAGATAGCTAAGAAGAGCGATCCAGGTTATTAAAAGCCCTGTATAATTCTCTAAAATGTATGTATTAGAGTAACAGCAGTAACTATAGAAGATAACCGAAGAACATCAAGATTACATAAATCCTTCATAGTTCCACAGATTTAACAGTATTAGAACTCTATAATTCTATAATCTTAAAAGACCTAGTTCAAACACATCATTTTAAGAACAGGAACAGCATTCGTGAAAGGTGAGACAAGAGGCTGCTGAAGGTCACTCAGCCAGTGACTGGCAAAGGTCAGGATGAGGTTCCCTGAGGCCTGTGTAGCCCACACCTCCTTTCCCACCACTTGCCAGCTCAAGTCCCACATCTGTAAAATGAAGTGACTGGACTAGAGGAGAGTCTCTTCGGTTCCTCTTTTGCTCAATTCCATACATCTATCAATTATCAGCAAACGACATTCTTTTTTTTAGCTCAAGGTGATGCTATATACTAAGGAAGGCCCCATTACCAAGCTATTCACAGGTATTCCACATGAGAAAAACAATTTCCCCTTTGAGGCCATAATATCTTAAGAACAACTCAAGATAATTTCATGACATTCTCTCCCTCAGGCTTCAACCATCCAGTCTTTGGAGTCTAGTCTGTTCATTTTCATTAGTAGTCTTCGATTAAGTTTATTGAGCCAGATGACTAGATCATTTATCTCACAGTAATTATGCATGAGAGGAACAATTTAGAGATACTTACCTAATTTCTAAACTATACTCTTCATGATTTCAATGCAATTGAGAAATTAAGATACTTTATTATATTTCTAATAAGAATGCATGGAAAAAATAAAATCTGAAAACACAGGAACAAAACATTATTCTTAGTTAAAAATAAATATTTCCTTCATTAGTTAATACATTCTATATCTAGGAAAGAGAATACAAATCTGATCTACAGTAGTTTTTATTTTTTTTGTTTGTTTATAAAAGAATAAATCAGGCCTCATTTACATGGCTACCCAATTACAGAGAACTCTTCTTACAAGAAAAAAAAATTTTTTTTCAGCTTGTAAGTTGTACTTCTCTAAATGTTGGAAATTATTGTTTAAGAGAGGCCTTCTCTTGATTTAGCTTATCTAATGCCAACTGGCAGAGAAAGACCTCAAAATCAAAAGACTGAAAAGTTCAGAACTCTCCTTGGATATATTTCAAACAGGCTGCTCTCACATTGCAGGGGTCAAAGCTTGTCCTTCAAAGTGCAATATTTTTCAGGCTCTTATGGGTGCTATTAAACTTTGTTTTTGCCCCCTTAAAGGGCTAACGTGAGGAAGAAGAAAAGCACTAGATAGAGAAACAAGCAAATGGATTTGGAATTTTATTTGTACAAATCTGGTCATCTATGAGTTCCCTTTTGATCAAGGCAAACGGCACTGAACTAAAAGAAATGAGCAAAGGGGTTGGCTGTGTTCACCTTTTTTTCAAAAGGCTGATTTTATAAAATTGCTTTTTCATTTAAGGAAAAAAGCCTCCTTCAATAAATACATACATATACAGAGGGTGACCATGAGGCACACTGTCAAGTCAGTACAGGGTATTTTATTTATTTTATGAACAATATACGAATGCTAGTGAGGAAGTTCTCTTTCTTTTGTCTTGTCTTTTAATCTAAGAAGCCAAGAAAAACCAACTGAATATGTGCTATTGACAGCAGCTTTCAATTTAAACATCAGCGAGTAGCTATGGTTAATCTGTGCCAAGCTTATCAACATACTTATTTTGGATTATCTGAAAATAAACAACATGCTTATTCTACAAAGACAGAGGACCTGCTGAAAGCTTCTAGCAACATACAAGTCTACTCAAAATGATTCCATATGTTACACTATAGGATTGTTATACAAGAGAAAGAGAGCAAAACTCTGTACAGATACCTGATATCAGACTTGAAACACCAAGTGAAAACAGAACTATTTAGCATCTTAATTTATACACAATTTATAGTATTTGATTCAAAATAAAAATCACAAGAAAAATACATCTGTTTCTGCTACAATTCCTTTCCTTTCCCCAACCACACCCCCCCCTCCCCCAGTGAAAAGCCTTCTAATAAAATGTATCATACTACTACCATTGTCTTGTTTTGGTCTAATTCTGACATCCCAGCTTGGGACAGTTAACATGAAAAGGAATGGCAAGATGTGTAGTTTATAGCATGTACACATTTTATCCAAGGATCTGAAGTACTTGCAGTCTCCATAACTGAGAAATCATGGAAGCCAGGGTGTTAAAATCCCTTGGTTAAGTCTATGATCAAAGGTCAATGTTGACTGGCTAAACCTGGGCTTAATTTCTTTTCTCAGACATATACTGCTGTCAGTCAGGCTGTTCTGCCTTCTCTTAAAAAGACCCATCTCCAGGCAAATGCCTAAAGTAAAGACTAAGTGAAGAAGTCATGTTTTCATGATAATACGTTAGGATGTGTGTGTGTGTGTGTGTGTACTTCTAATTAAAAATATTTATCAACATCTGGCCATAGACAGTGGTTGGGAGACCATTTCTAGCAAAAATGAGACAAAAGTGTCAATTCACTATTTTAGTTACAGTTAAGCTTTTGGTGGAGTTGATTCCAGCACAGGTCAAGCTTATGGCATCTACTACTTGGTTAAAGATAATGCTATTGAAGAAGGGTATTGGGAAAGTATAGAAAAACTAACAGGAAGAAACTGGACTATCTGGAGGGTCAAAATTATTTTCTTTCCTTATCTTTCCTACAAGAGAAGGCAAGGAGTAGGAGATAAGGACTAGAGGTCCTTTATTTGCAGATATAAAAAAAATGTTTTATATAACTCCATAACGAAAATGAATGATTATGGCATGAAGATAACACAAGTGCATCTGCTACTGGGTCACGGCTACAGGTCTATGAGCTGATCCACCAGCAGTAAAGACCTGGCTAGGCTGGGAAGACTGGACTCAGAGCTCCCACTGCTGTTTCTAGAGTGCCCACCTAGAAGTGGAGAGATAGGAATTCAGTACAAAACACAGAGGGTTAAGGTTCAGATGTGCAGAGCAAGCAAAGAAGAAGAAACAGAACAAAATAAAAAACCCAGAGAAGCAACATTTTACATTTACATACTCTTAAATGTTGACTTCTAAACATATAAATTAGCTATTGATTTCCTCCCACCAGGAGTTGAGGCAATCTGTGCACACCACAGTACAGGCAGGCCACTTGTGACGAGGATGCTACTGTCAGATGCTCCGTATTTTGCCTGAGCATTGCTGGCTGTACCTTAACTTTCAATAACATCTCACTATAGTAAAAATCAGTAATTTTTACTTTGGGTGAAAATTAGCTATCAAGACCATTGTAACAAGAACAAGTTTAAAAGAAAAATGAATTAGATGGTCCTATAGCAATTAATGGTTTAAGGACATGTTCAGATCATCTTAATCTACCAAGGAGGATTAAAAGACATATAATATCAGAGCTCCCTTTTAGGGAGGAATATTTATTAGAGTGCACTGGACATGATAAAAAAAAGCAACATGATTTTAAAAATACACATATTAAAGTTTCCATGTATTGAAGGGCACTTTCTATTTTAATGTTTCATAAAAACACGCATTTAAAAAGGTCAAACTATTAGACACTTTTCTCTAAATACACAGCATAGATAAAATTTTATCTAGATCTTTAGCTATCTCTATGGTCTAGCCTATAATGATTATTATGATCAATTTCCTTCATAAATGTCTTATTAGATTTTCTCTTTTCCTCCTCTTTCAGATTTGGCTCATTATTATTTCAAAAAGAGCTATTCTCAAGCTCTTTTCTTGTCTCCCAATCTCTCTTCTTACCTTGTGGATTTTTGGTTATCAATACAGGAATGGGATCAAATTCATCTTCTGCCACTTTGTCCGAGCCCTCAAGGACATCAAAACCTGAGATGAGATTACTATCTTCTGCAGCTTAATACAGAATGCAAGTGCATGAGCAGAAACAACAGAGGTAGAGATTAGTAAGAGAGTAAAAAAGGCACAAAGTTCCCAACTGCATAATCACTCTTATTTTAAAGATGAGTATTTATTTTTCTGAGTTGAGGTGGTGCTAGCTGTAGCTGAATCGATTCTGATTCGCTGCAGAGTAGAATACTCAAGGCTCCACAGTTTTCACGGCTGTGCTCTATCGGAAGCAGATTGCCAGGCCTGTCTTCCAAGGAGTTTGTAGGTAGGCTTGAATTGCCAACCTTGTGGCTAGCAGTTGAGCATTTAATCAACTGTGCCATTAAAGGACTTCCCGAGTAGAAATAAAAGTAGCATAATTAGGAAACTTAAGGATATAGAAACAGGTGATTTCGAATTGGTCTTGTTAATTTTTAAAACAGATAATACAGGAGAAATGTTATTGGAAGAATTCTACCACTTATAACACTGATTATAAAGAGGTATCACTTTGATATCTGTAATTCACAAAGGCACAAAAAAAATCATTTATCTTCTTTTGACCAATTAACAACATTCCCCAAATTAAAAACTAGAGGTGGAAGAGGGGAGAAGCAATGAGAGTGTCAAAAGCAACCACTATATATTTTAGGAGCTCTGACGGCCTAATGGTAAGAAGCTGTGTTACAATCCCAAAGGCTTGTGGTTCGAATCCACCAGCTGCTCCTTAGGATAATGATAGGCAATCTCTTCCCACGTGATTTATTGCCTCTGAACACATGCTGAAGGGTCAGTTAAGAATTGGTTCTGACTCGATGGCACATACCAGCATCACCACCACCATATTTCAGAGGGAGCTCTGGTGGTGGGCTGCCAACTCCAAGGTAGGTAATTTGAAAGCACGAGTTGTTTTGAATGAGAAAGGTGGGTAATCTCTCATGTGATCTGAAAACTACTAGAGGGTCAGTTCTGTGTCAGGATTGACAGCAAAGAACAAATATATACTGTGGGAGAAAGAAGAGCAGGTAATCTCCCCTTGTGTGATTTATAGCCTCTGAAAAACCACTGATGGTGAACTTTGTGTTGGTAATGACAGAGAGAGAATACAAGGCAAACAAAGTTATTTCTGGGAAGAGTGACTCTCCGTGGTTGTGAAAAAGACTTCCAAACAACTTTGCTGCTGCTTTGAATGTTGGGACACAAAAATCACATGCACTGGAACAGTAAGCAAATGTCTGTTAAAACATTCTTTTCAACTCTAATTAAAATTTTCCCACTAGACTAGCAAACATCTATTTTCAAGTGATGCTCCACACATTGCTACTGCTACATTCCTGCTAGACTTAAGTGTTTAAATAAATACTTTCCATCTATATACTCTAAAACAAAAACTCTGCTATTACCACTATAGACCGTAAGCTACTTATTTTTTTGGTCATCTTGGAAAAGTTTCCTTTAGAAAGCATTTAAGCAGCTTGTTCTAGATTATATATATATATATATTCCTTCAAGAGGTTTAGTGAATGCCTGTATACAGCAGGCCAGGCACTATGCCTATCATTTCACAAGCTATTCACTTAATAGCATCTCCAATCTGCATTAATTCAAGACTAAGAAATGTTTAAGTGTGTCGATTAACAAGAGAAACTCAGCAAATTAGTAATGGTTTCAAGGTAAAGTATAATTAAAAACTTTCATAAACCCACTCTGAGGGCCAAGGACGAATTCTATATTGTAGCCATCACTTTAAATCAGATTAACAAAACAAATATCGTGGAGATCAACAAGTACTACGTTAATTATAGTCATCCAGTAGTCACCTCAACGATCTTTGCAGAGCTGGCCGCAAAGGTGCACAGCTCTGCCTTCAACATATAACCTGGGGTATTTGCACTCAAAATTCTTGCCAGAAAGTAATACCTTCTCCACCACTCTGTTGCTTATTGAATGTTCTACCAAGAAGTGTTGTAACAGTGATTAAGAATACAAATTCAAGTTTTTTTTCTCCCTTAAGAAAGTAGTTAAAAAATACCCAGCAGCAAAAAAATTTTGGTAAGAAAACCTTTCAGGAGCCATTCAGTTGTTTTCCTCTGAGGATAAACGTAGGCTGGAAAAGCATAAAGTAGTTACCTTTATGGGCTGGGGCAGAGATCGCTATAGGGGCAAACTCTTCCAGAAGATCAGTGGTAGGGTTAGAAAGCAGAGAGGAATCAAGAAGGGAATCTTCACCAGTGAGAGAATCTGAGTCCAGATTAGCAGCATCCAAAGTGATGGCATTAAATGACACACACAACAATGTAAGGTTAGATCTTTAGCTTTTAAGTGATTAAATTTGCACTTTATATGTTCAAGTCAAAGTGGAAGAAAGTGAACTTACAGAAACATGTTAAGCCTTTTCAATTTCCATCCAGATAAACATCTATTTCCAGGTTCTTTTTAATATGAGCATATAAGTACAAAGGATTTTTTGTTCAGAAGTTGCTGATTAAATAAGTTTGTGATTTGACTGCCAATATAATTTCAGCAATTTAGTTCTCAGCAAATGCCATTGAGAAACAAAGACTTCAAAAAATTACACTAAACATTCATGGAAGAAAGTTTCTATAGGCCAAGGTACAGTAGTTGTTTAAAAAGGGCTGCTCATGGCTTATTATTAGCAGAATGTAACATGTGCTTTGTAGAACTAATGTAGAATAATTTTGCCTTTGATCCTGGAAACAGTGAAACCAGGCTGCTCCTTGCAGGCAAGGATTCTGAGGCTTTGTCTGACATATTTTAGGCATGTTGCAAGGAGGGACCAGTCCTTGCAGAGGAACATCATGCTTGGGAGGATGGAGAGACAGTCTAAGACAGGATGACCCTCAATGAGATGGACTGACTCAGTGACCGGGGTAATGAGGGTAGGTGTGTCAGAGACAATAAGGTTGGCACAGGATAGAGCAGGTTTCAGGGCTATTGTACATAAGATCGTTATGAGTTGCAAGTGACCTGATGGCACATAACAACAACAACAACAACAACTAGCATCTTTTAAATTTAATTCAGTTAGAGAATAAAAAGAAGAAAAAATTCATAATGCATGCACTGTTTTTTGGAAAATTTTTCTAGGAAAAATATTGTCACTCCATCGTATCCAAGTAAGGATATGGAAAAGGGACCATACTGTCCTCTGTGTTAGTTTTTTTCCTCACTAGTGTGAGGTGATTTTCACATGCTTCAAACTTAATGAAAGTCATCAAGTCTGTTTTGGGGAGCTACTCAGAATGTCAACCAAGATTTAGCTTAGAATTTAGACTAAGCAGTAGTGGAGCTAGAGAAAAGTTCAATTTTGTCTACAGTTAGCTGCAAATTGCTTTTTGTCAACATACAGAACATGAACTCAGGAATGTCATGAACTGCTAGATCAAAAACACTGCTCTGCAACCTAGATGACTTAATGGTATCATCTAGTTCAACAGAGTGCTTTAATGAAGGACATGAAGAAAACCTGCCATCGGTGAAAAGAATCCTATACAGAGAAATATGATAGCCAGAGAAAAGCCAGGGATAACTCTATATAGTTCTAAAAATTCCATTTTTCAGTGAGAACACAGTACTGAACAGCATTTGAAAGTGGGGCTGGAAGAACAGTTCACAATATCCGTTCTATGAGGAACTAGCCAGTCTGTAAAAGGAGCCTCTATCAGCTGACCCAGGTTGAAAGATTGGCTCTAAGGGCTCACCAGACAGCCCAGCCCTGCAGCTGCAGAACACCTGACTGACCTGTGCGGTTGGAGGTGACGGATTCCGTCTGAGATGGGAGGCGCTGGGGCACCGGAGGCTCCAGTCCTGGTATGAGACTTTCAACAGCAGCATCAGCTTTTTCTTTTAAAACAGAGCATTGAGAAAGGAGAGGAAACGCCAAAGGGAAGGAGGTCAGAAAGGTCTTTAGAAAATTCTGAGAAAGCATTCTACAGATCTCTAAACTATCCCTTTCAGATGAGATGGTAAGAACAGTAAGTGACTTTATTTGTGCTATTTTCATTGTATAGATTTTTTTAACTAAACATGCTATCATGTTCTGTAAGGCTACCACTGGGTCAATGTCAGTGGTCCTTTGTTTTTACAATAAATGTGGAACACAAGTCACCCATCAGCTTTTTTTCCATGTCAGAAGAACTAGCAGGCTTGAAAGGCACTTTTCTAACTTCTGTTTTTCTTAGTAGACCAACTTGGGGCAAAATATCCCCTATGCCATGTAAGCCGCTGGCCTTCTTCAAAGCATCTCATGTGCTAGCAAGTTTTCTGCACCTTATGATAGCCCTTCCTCAGCTGGAAGCTCATCTTGGTTTTTAGTTCTAGCACCTTTTTTTGGGGTCAAAAAGTGTGATTATGACTTTAATGAGAAGGCCTTGCTGGAGTATGTGGGCTTTGAGCATGAGGCACGTTAAGCCCCAGCCCATAATCCCACTTATGGGCCTTAAACACCTGGCAAAGTGTTTTCTCAGTCACTGATACTCACTACACACAAGGATCTTCTAAAGAAAATCTGCTAAATTCTATTAAGTTCAATAAAACTGAGATCCAGTTTAAAAAGTTCCACGAAGCTTTTATAGTTGTGTGTTTTCCCACATTCCTTCTCCTTCATAAAACACTTCTAGAAATCCCAAGATATTAAAACAAGAAATTATGTTATATCCTCGGAAGGAAGAGAAAACACTTCATTTGGGGTTGTAAGTAGGTTAAATAGCCTTTGGCTTCTGGGTAAGCATAAAGCATAACTTTAAAACTTGAAGATTATAGCATTTCCACTCTTTATTAGTGTTTTCACTAGAGCTACTGATTATTACTGAAACAGACAAACACTATCATGCACAATTGAAGAAACAGACATAGAGAGTTTACCAATTATAGTATCAGAAGTGCTACCAAAAGGATCTGTCATAGGCAAAAGGTCAGGGAGCAGAAGAGAGGTGTCAGGAGATTTGAGTCCTTCAATAAGTTTTTCTAGGTTGAGCAAAGAGAAAACAAAAATGTAATGAAATTTTATAGCAAAATGACCATACACTATTTTCACGTAGACATATTTTGGGAGTACAAAATTTTACTTAGCTTTGTACAATAAACAATGAATAATACTGTTAGTACTATTTCTCCAATTGAAGGGATTATTTGAACAGCATTGAAGATGCTGCCCTAAGTTTGTTTGCTTTATTTACAATATATTTGACACATAATTCAAGTCACTAGTTCACTGCTACTGAGTCAAAACTGAAATACCCATCTTTCTCCCCTGGAGCAGTTGATGGCTTTGAACCGCCTGCCTTTGGGCACTGCAACTCCTCAAACATTAGGCCAGTTTAGCTCCCCTATAATACAACTCACTAATCATAAACATACAATTTGGTAAGTTTTGACAAATTTATATGTACATATAACTGTTAATTAAATGATACAGAACATTTAAAAGCTCCTTGTGCTCTTTGGTGTCAATCATCTCTTCTTACCCCCTTGATTCTGGCAACTGTATTAAGTACTAAAAACTCCAAATTACTTGTGTATTTTTCATGGAGCAATTTAGCTTGGAGTAAAAAGCTTTTAAGCTAGTGGTTTTGCAGAGCTTAAGTTCTGGCCTCTCAGGATTTCTTCTCCAACTGTGACTGAAGCAGTAACTGAGTGCAGTAGCTAGCACTGTTTCCACATCTGCAAATCTGAGATATTTCTGCCCATCTTTTGTGCTGATCATTCAAGCACTATCTTCTCTAAGCCTCTAACCACTCTCTGCCAGAGAGTGTTCCTTCTGGAACATTATGAAGTCATTTCACGGAAAGGTCTTAAAACATGACAGAAGACTGTTGCCCTGGTGCTCAGAGCCCTATCATACTCCCTATCACATATCTTCTGCCTTAATGTGAAGGGATTATCTGGAAAAAGTATGGCACTTCAACAAAATAAGAACTCAATTTTTTAATTAGCTAAAAACCATGTGAGAGGGCATGCAAGGACATACATGCATTCTACAGTGAGATGAAAGGAGTGAAATGCCAAATAGCTGAAATATAACATTCACATTCTTATTCTCAATCATATAAAAATAACAAAATCCACAAATAATTAATATCACTGTAGCAAGGATTTAATCCTCTAAGTAACACTATTCAGAGTTATTTCATCTCCTCTCTGATAACATATTTCAAACCAAAAGTCAACTGCAGAAGATTCTAACTCAACTTACTTTCTAAGGCTATAACTCTTCAAAGCAGATGATGGCCTCATCTTTGTCCCAAGCAGTAGGTACATGTAAACTGCAAACTTTAAAGTTATCAGCCTAACACATATCACACTACACCACCATGCTCAAAGAGAATTCTGGCCGAAAGAAAAGTGATCACTTTTTTATCAGTTCACAGGTGTTGCTTTGTGCCATTGAGTTGCAATAACTCACAGGTGACCCTCCAGCAAGCTTTCAGAGGCAACATGCACGAGAGGAGACGGCTCATCATTCTACCAAGGATCAGCTGGTAGATTGGAACAGCATGCCTTTGGGTTGTCAACACACCACCTTATCACTAGGCCAGGAGAGGTCCCTAGTTGTTAGGTGATTTTTGTGTACCTTAGAGTTGGAACCAACCCAGAACTGACCTTCAGGTAGGTTTTCAGAGGCAGGTAATTGCATGGGAGGAGCCTGCTCATCTGTCTCCCATGGAGTAGATGGTGACTTCTAACTGCGTGCCTTTGGGATTGTAGCACAGCTTCTTGACACTAGGTCACCAGAGCTGTTAGAGTTGTTAAGTAGGTATGAATACTTTTATACTTGGCTCCAGACTTAATATGTGTATATGTTGTGGGAGTAGGGAGTGACACTGAGAGAAGAGTGTACCTTCCTAGATTTAGAAAGAGCATTCTTTTGAGTGCCTAGGTGATACAAATCGTTAACGGACTTGGTTGCTAACTGAAAAATAAGAGGGGTGAAGTCTACCCTGAGGCACTGCTACCTGAAAAATAGCGGGGTGAGTCTACCCTGAGGCACCGAGGAATAAAGGTGATCTACTTCCAAAAAAATCAGCCACTGGAAACTTTGCAGAGCACAGTTTTAATCTGACATACATGGGATCTCCGTAAGGTAGAGTCAACTCCTTGGAAACAAGGTAGTTTTTAATTAATTTTAGATTTTTAAAATTGTGATTTTAGTGAAAGTTTACACAAAGAATGGGTTTTCAATCATTTACTGATACACCGCTCCTTGTCTTCCCCTCTATCAATTAATTTTGTAATACATGTCTTGTTCTAGATTGTCGATTGCCATATACACAATGTCTAATCATCTATTCTTTTCAGATAGTTCCTCTCTTCTCCCATTCCAGGATAGTGTTCATTATCCATCCATTCCTTCCTTTCTCTCCTCTACCCATATACATCCTACTTGTAGAAGATATCTTATGCAGTATTCGTCCTTTCATGACTTAGATATTTCACTTAGCATGATATCTTCCAGACTCACCCATGTTGTGTAGTGTTTTACAATACAAGTTTGTATTTTTCCATGCTGAATTGTTTCCAGTTGTGTGGATGTACCACAGTTTTTCTATACACTGATTAGTTCTTGGGCTGCTTCCATCTCTTTGCTACTGTGAATGCTGCAATAAAGATGGGTGTGCATACATCTGTTTGAATCATGGTTCTGGCAGTGAGTTAGCTGCATCAAATGGTATTTCTATTGCCAAATTCTTGAAAAATGCCAGACCACCTTCCATGGTGGTAGTAGTACCATTTTACATTCCCACCAGCAGTGAATAAGAGTTTCAATCTTTCCACAACCTTGCCTACATTTGTTGTTTGCTGCCCTGTTGAACTCTATTCTTGGTGCTGAGGTGAGATGATATCTCACTGTTCTTTTGATTTGCATCTGATAGTTTGAAATTTTGACTTTGTCTTCATATATGTTTGTTGGCTATCTGAATGTCTTCTTTGGTGGTCTGTATCTTGTGCCTGTACTGGATTTGGGTTATTTACCTTTTTCTTGTTGAGGTCCTAGAATATTCTATATTTTTTTAGATATAAGCCCCTTATCAGATATGTCATTGCCAAGTATTTTTCCCCAGTCTGTGGGCTTCCTTTTTACCTTGTTGAAGAAGTTTCTTAATGTGCCTAGGGATATGATGTTTTAGAGGTCACATTCATCTGTTTTATCCTCTCCTGGCTGTAGATTTTTCATTATGCTTGAAAGTCTATTAATAGTATAGAGTTTCTAGAGTTGTTGCTAGTTTTCTCTGACAAATATTAGTTATAGTCTTTGATTTTATTCCTAAGTCACTGATCCACTTTGAGTTGCTTTTTGTGTATGGTGTGAAATGTGTATCTTGCTTCAGTTTTCCAATTTTGTCACCATTATTTGTAAAAGAGGCTGTCATTTTCCCGATTTAACTGATTTTGTTTCCTTGTCAAAGATCAGTTTACCATAGGTAGACAAGTTGATTTCTGAGTTATTGATTCTATCCTACTGATCTATGTTGCTGTACCAGAACCATGCCACCTTGATTGCTATGGCTGTGTATTAAGAATTGAGATCGGACTGGGAGCGACTGAGCGGGCCGCCGCCGCCGCCATGAACCCCGAATATGACTACCACCTGTTCAAGCTGCTTCTGATTGGCAACTCAGGCGTGGGCAAGTCGTGCCTGCTCCTTCGGTTTGCTGATGATACGTACACAGAGAGCTACATCAGCACCATCGGCGTGGACTTCCAAGATCCGCACCATCGAGCTGGATGGCAAAACCATCAAACTTCAGATTTGGGACACAGCCGGTCAAGAGCGGTTCCGGACCATCACCTCCAGTTACTACCGGGGAGCACATGGCATTATCGTGGTGTACGATGTCACAGACCAGGAATCCTACGCCAACGTGAAGCAGTGGCTGCAGGAGATCGACCGCTATGCCAGTGAGAATGTCAACAAGCTCCTGGTGGGCAACAAGAGTGACCTCACCACCAAGAAGGTGGTGGACAACACCACGGCCAAGGAGTTTGCAGACTCCCTGGGAATCCCCTTCCTGGAGACGAGTGCCAAGAACGCCACCAATGTGGAGCAGGCATTCATGACCATGGCTGCCGAGATCAAAAAGCGGATGGGGCCTGGGGCAGCCTCAGGGGGTGAACGGCCCAACATCAAGATCGACAGCATCCCTGTGAAGCCAGCTGGTGGTGGCTGTTGCTAGGAGGGGCATGTCGGGTGGGACAGGAGGGGGTGCCTCCAGATGATGCCCCTGAGGGGGCCAGAGATGCCTTCCCCTCCCTCCCCTGTCCGGGGCATTTGAGTCTGTGGCTTTGGGGTGTCCTGGGCTCCCCATCTCCCTCTGGTCCATCTGCCTGCTGCCCTGAGCCCTGGTTCTTTCAGGGCCCCCAGGGGAGGACCAAAGGGCCTGTGCCTGGGGTGGGGTTTGCTCTGCGGCTGCCTCGAGGTAACTACCAGATCCCCACCACACCTTTCTTTGGGAAGAGGGCTTCTCCGTCTGTCCTCTCCTCTGCCCCCATGTATGCTGCAGTGGCTCTCTCTTTGTTCTCTTCTCCCCTCCATGCCCAAGGGCTGAGGACCCCCCTGGTCTGCTGCCCTGCTGCAGTCACTGTCCAGGGCCACGGGTAGGGCAGCGGCTCTGGAATCCAGGGTCGGACCTCAGGACAGCCATGGGGCCACGGGACCTGCAGCCCCTCCTGCTTTCCCCACCCCTCCTCCACTCAGCTCGCTGTCCAGCTGTGGCAGCCCGAGCACAGCCAAGGCAGGTGGGCGGGCAGCCGTGCAGGGCCTGTGTCTTAGCCTGGAGGAAGCCTGCTCCTGCAGCCCCCTGCCCTGCCAGAGCTGGGCCCGTGTGCTGCCTGCCCACCGCACCCGCCCCGCCCGCCCCTTTGTCCCCAAGGCAGGCGGAGGCAGAACGCCTACCGTGCCAGAGGCCAGGCACCAGCCGTCAGCCTTAACCCTCACTGTGCCAGCCCTTCTGCCCCTCCCCAGAGGC